TGCTTTTGAGATCTTCACTCTGCACTCTTACCTTGACTGTAAAGGCTTGGAAAGCCTCGTCTGGATTCGCAAAGTCAAGGGACTCAGTGCTAGAGTCCAAAGGAGCTAAAACGTTTAACGCCATCGCTTCAAAGTCAGCTGATGCGTTGGGCGCCAAATGTCTGATCAACCAACTGTTGACGTCGTCTCTACTCGTGACTGATGGTGTTTTGTCAAGTTCCTACAGCATTTCCCTAAGTGAGGCAGCCCTGGGCTGGCGGGCTGTGTCATTCAGGGGCATGCACGGCTGACTGGAACACGCAGGGGTAAAGGGGATCTAACCATTATCTTGACATAACGCGCCCCACGTTGCATCGATTTAAGGACTTGCAAATAAACGGGTTAGTCTAATCAAATACACAATAAGGTTGTGGGAGTGATTACTTCTCATGATCGAATGAGGCCCTGATTGGCTAGGAGTCTTCTTACACTTCTGTCACCGACGACTCCCCAAATACTCATTTATTTTTGCTTAGAGTATAGCCCTTGCTGTACTCGCCCCCTTTATTATGGTTGTTGAAGCTGAAACTTGGATAGAGAAATCCAAGGTACCTAGGTTGTGCCAAATGGTGTCAACGGGCCCCGTCCGATACGACGTCCCGTATCATGCCAAAGTTAGGTAAGGATGCCAAGACAAATGGATTAGTGGTGACGGCCTCCAAATAGCGTGCCGGGCACGGGCATACAGGACTCTGATATCCTGCAGAACCGAGTAGGGAATACGTGCTGCACCACGCCATAATATCTAGTCGCGCAATGGAGCGGCGTAATAACCTGAACCTTTTGGCAACTGTTTAAGGTGTGTTGGTTGCTATACGGAACATCGCATGCATAAGTCGTGGACGGGCACCCTAGAAGGTGGGTGCGGGAGGCTTGACTCGAGCGAAGTATTGGACACTGCTGGTAGTTTTGAGTTTTGAGTTATGGTTATCGCACAAGATCCAAGTTCTATCTGAGCCGGCAGAGTTTGCGCTGCTAGCTTATATACCTTAGATTTGGCACGTGCTGTAATCTCTGGCTTGCCCGGGGTTAATCTATGACTCAGTGACACTTGGGGAGAACTTGTCCACGGAGGCTTATTAAGTCCATTCATCCTGGAGGGTATTTTCACTAATCTCTTATCTTCTGAGGGATATGTAGGCTACTATAGAATGTTTACAAAGGAACGTAAGTACTTACATAGAGCATGAGTTGGTTTCCTAACAGCACTGATAACAGTTTCTCGTTATCATATACAAGCCTCCCGAGCTTTTGGATTTAACTACCTCATTATTATTTACTCTATTCGGTTGTTCAAGGACTTCAGAACTTTAGTCGTGCTCCCCCAACTGACCCCCAGACACGCTGGCTTATTTTATGATACATCCACCGGAAATACGAGCTGTAGCACGCTGTAGCTCGCTGTAGCTCTCTGTGTAATCGTGGGATTCTGTCATCCGCTCAGTAAAACATGTTTCATTCCTCGTTTGGTCAGACTTCGCTGTTCAGCTTATGCTCTGAAATGGACGTACGCTCTCCAGCAAATACCCCCAAGAGTCCTACGGGGTCGCAGCCCCCAAATCGATCGGCAAATCTCTCATCCGTAGTCCTCCCTAAGAAATTTGTCGCTGTGGCAGGGCGCCATGTTCCAAAAGTTGGTTTGCTTATATCGCTCATATCTGTAACTGTGTTCCGTGGGGGCTTGCAACTGTGTCGCCTTCACCCGTGATGCTGTGGTAAGCAAGACTGTCTTGACTTTCTCAGTAACCCCAGCCTGGCCAAACAAAACGATTCATTCGCTAGTGGTGAAACGCTGCCAGCGCTTCTTGGCGATACAGGTGCTTACAGAGATTGGAAGAGTACCATTACTGAGAATGGTAGTAAGTTTCGCAACGCCAAGTACGAGGTGGGATGACTCTACATAGTTGTACGAATAACAACAATACTAACTTACTCTAGTGTTAGAGGACAAGCTTTATACTTCCTCCTTACACCCAGTACAGCGCGATGAGCTTCTTACTGATAGCCCTTCCTTACTCTTGATTCCGTCACGATTTCTCTACAACCGAAGCCTACACCCTAATCACTCGCCAGGATTAAGCGTCGAATAAACCTGGTATGGCAGAAATACACTACTATTCAATAGAGCAGAGAGAAATTCATGAACTACCTGATGCCACATATACCCCAGCAGATTCGAGGAATGCAGAATGGTTAATCCAACAGCAAGATATTACTGAAGTCGATTCATCGACTCTTCCACCGCAACCAGCTGCTCCAAGTCCCAGCATAGGCGCGGAAGACGGCCTCCTCACAGACTATACACCCTTCCGGGTTCAGGGGTTTGCAGACAAACAAGCCTTGGCCGGCTGGTTCCCTCGTATAGACGACGACGGAAATACGTCATTGCGGACCCGACTGTCAAAGAGAAACCGAGCGCTCCTCTTACAGATCGCCCTCATCGTCACTATTTTTGCCGTCAACATCTTCATTTTGGTATACGCCTCGTCAAAGTATCCCACGAGGGACGGCGTTGGGCTTCTATACGCCGGAGATTGCGATACGGTGAAAAATGCCAATCGCTTGCTGCACCTGCTGATCAACGTCCTGAGCACCGGCATACTTTCCGCCTCGAACTACGGGATCCAACTTCAAGCGTCTCCGACACGGGCTGACATCGACAAGGTGCACAGACGTGACAAATGGCTTGATATTGGAGCCCCAAGCCTCAGGAACCTTAGATATATCGGGCGCTGGCGACTCGTTTCCTGCATTGTTTTAGCCTTGAGCTCGCTGCCCATTCATCTAATGTGAGTATCCTCCCCCAGCGCTTCATCTCCAACTAGAGGATAGACGCTGATAGACGACAAAAGTTTTAATTCGGCCGTTTTCCAGTCTCTTGCATCAAACGACTATACAGTAGCAGTCGTGAAAGAGTCATTTTTATCAGGGGCGGGTTGGCATCTATCTACTGCCGAGCGCAACCGTCTAGGCGACCACGGATGGGACGTCGAATTCTGGGGGGTACATGACCCTCCAGGTCAAAGCTACCAAGATATCGTAGAAGGCATGCAAAAGGATGTCATGAATGGCACGTACGAGCACAAAAATGTCTCCGAATGCTTTACACTATACGAGGACTACTGGGCCACCCGTCAAGGAAACGTGGTAGTGGTGGCCAAGAATGAGCCTGGCGATGATGATAGTCTGCTGCTATACACGTTCGTCGTGCCGCGGTACGATAACTACGCGAAGAACCTATGGGCTGCTTCTAACGGCACTGGCAAGAGCGTAGCGTTCTCGCCGTCGCCTCCTCCGATAACCACCATATACCTCGGCCCTCCGCACTATGAGGCGTCTTATTGCCTAGTCCAAAATGCGACCTCCAGCCCGAATAGGTGCCGCTTGCAATATTCGACGCACATCTTGCAGGCCGTTTCCTCTCTAAACTTTGTTAAGTTGGTAGCTCTCTTCTTTGTCTGGAATACTAGAACGAGAGAGAGGAGGCGACGGAGAGTAAAGAGCGAAGAATGGGGGGCGGTGGCTGAGGACGAAGAAAATGATCTAGCCCAGAGAGAAGCGGTTCTCTCGACACTTGGAGATGCCATATCTTCCTTCATGCGGGACCCGGACGAAACGACTCGAAACATGTGTCTCGCTACGAAACATGACTTCCTCCAGAAGAGGCCATTTTTGAATCGGCGAAGGCAGGAAAAGTCAAGCCCGGGCCCTCGCGAATGGGAGATGTCGCGAAGACGTTGGATGTCAGCCGTCACACGGCTTCAAATAGTATCCCTGGTTTTCTTGTAAGTACCCTTTTCTAGTTCTAGCCATCGTGATTACCATGTCGCCGAAGAGTACTGACGTGACCCCCCACCGCAGGTACATAGCCTTCATAACAGGACTCTTCACCAGCATGGGGCTACTCGTCACATCCCTCAAGAACCGCCATTTCGATCTCACGCTTTCTTTCTTTCGATCCCTTGGTTTTGGCTCCGTGTCACCGCTCACCTATCTCAACATTCAGCTGCCCCGCGGCGACCCCATCGGTCTGATCTACAATGTACTCATCATTAACTCACCGCAGCTTCTCTTCTCCATCATGTACTCTGTGGCCGGCGCCATCCTGACAACGTTCCTAGTCCAGCGCGAGTTCAGTCTCATGTACACCAGAGCCCACCGTAAACCTCTGCGTGTGTCGGAGCCTGTCGGTATTCAGCGGTCGAGCTTCTTCATCTCTCTCCCCTTACGCTACGGTGTCCCCTTGAACTTGTCCTCGGCCGTGTTCCATTGGCTCATCTCCCAGAGCTATTTCCTGGCCCGCGTCACAGCGCTGCTGCCCAATGGTTCAGAAGATTATGGGAATTCATTCTCGACCCTTGGTTATAGCCCGTATGCCATTATTATTAGTGAGTGTGTTTGCTATCTCTCTTTCCCAACGCCGCCTGTCTCTCCAACTCCCGTCTCACCATACTAACTCATACATGGGTCTGCAGCTGGAATAACTGCTTTCATAAACTTGGCGATTATTCTCTTACTTGGATGCCGTAGATATGACGGCACAATGAGCCTGGTATCTACCAACAGCATGGCGATAAGTGCAGCGTGTCATGGCTTGCCCGAAGATAAAGAAGACGGATACCGGCTTCCTCTACAGTGGGGAGTCGTGGAAATTGGTGACGATGGTATCGGACATTGCACATTCACCACAGCGCCCTGCCATGAAATCCAAAAGGCTCAAGAGGGTGTCTTATATCAATAACAATAACCCCCAAAAAATATGGAGGGGAATTACAGACGATTCCAAAGTATTCCATTTCCAGCAAGATTGATGCAGCACCGACCTCACTTGTCTTCGTCGAAAGCCTTACAATCCTCAATACCGTGATGTCCGTCAAGTCCAAGATAACGCGTCCATGAGAAGCAACGCAACCAATGGTTTCTGTTTCTTAGGTTATCCTTGAGTCCGACTTATACAAGCTGGCCTCGTGGCCCAATGGCAAGGCGTCTGACTACGAGAGAGAACTGGTTGAAAAATGAGTTCTTCACCAATAATCAGGAGATTCTGGGTTCGACCCCCAGCGAGGTCAAAATTAGCCAACAGGTGGTAAATCATTTTTTTTCTCGGTACATGATGTATAGAATCCCCTCTGAAAGATCTGCACCAAATGTAGTAATGCTGTACTATCTCAGAATCAGAGAAGAGATAAATGATGTAATCATATGGATGATGATATCCCGGGTGGTAATGAGTACAAAATAGGCGCTGTAGCAATTAGCTTAGATCCGAGACCACCGAAATATTATCAGGACAAACCAAGCAAGTAGCTTAGGTACTGATTCCTGCATCTTATCGGTGATTGATTAGGAATCGCCCTCTAAACTCTGCCTGACTCGTGCACTACACATGCATCTGGGCGACTTTATGCGACAAATTACCCGAAGGTCAGGGAGCCCACCTTCGCAACTGTTAATAGACGAAATAGCATTATGAAGCCAAAGATGTGATCTCGTTGGTCAAAATCTAACCGTAGCATTACATATCAAACGCCATCCCAGAAGGAACTCCTATTAAGCAACCAAACCCTCCAGTAGCTGTACAGTGCACAAACACTACGCCGACGTGAAGTCCTACTGCCCCCAAGTAGCATAGGTACGTTGGAGTTCCAAGCCTGCTCCTTCCAGAGGAGCCCATTATCCTGATACCCACGGATAGTCCAGCTCGTACTTATGCATTGCCGGTAACATATTAATAAACCATCATTGCCTTTTGCATTACATCGTTACTCTTTTCCCCGCTTACGGTACCCTTTCAACCGCTGCACATAACGCAGGCTTCGGGGTTCTCAATGCTACCTAAAGCATTGTTAGTAGGTCTCCAACGATACACACAGGAAAAAGGGATTGGGCACTTACAAGCCAGGGCAGCATCAGCATAAATATCGTATTCACGCTCCTTGCTCTTGTCTTCTTTATCCTCATCCTGCTGCGGCGATTTGTTGCCTTCAAGGACAGCCTCCGGTAGCTCCTCGGCCTTGGGCTTCTCTGTAGGCTCTGTTGCCAAAGCTTTGGGGCTCTCGCCTTCAGGCGCATCGGCCTTGAATGTTGAGCCGTTGACTGACGATGCAACTGGCTGCGCTGCAGATGCCTCCCTCAGAGGGGGGGTGGTACTAGGTGTAGGCACTCCATGAGGGGAGTTGACGACGGTGTTCGAGTCTTCCCTCTTAGCATACATCGGTCGCGAGACTGCAGGGGAAGAAGAAGACATGTGAGTGCCAGAGGGAGGTGCTCGTTTCTTCAACGTGCCGGGTCTAGCAGCCGCTGAGTCGGTAACCTTGAGTGCCTCCTGGTCGACTGTGAATTGGATAGGTTGTGCTGCAGCTTGTGTTCGCAGGTAGTACATGCCGGTCTTCAGACCCAGCTTCCATCCGGCGAAGTGCATGCTGGTGATCTTGCCCATTGTAGGTTCCCTCATATGGATATTGAGCGATTGGGACTGGTCGATAAAAGCACCACGGTCAGCGGCCATTTGGACCACTGTTCGCTGGGAAATTTCCCAAACGGTCTTGTATAGAGCCTTGACTTCAGCAGGAATGCTAGGGATATTCTGAATGGAACCGTTCTCGGCGATGATGCGGTTCTTCATATTGTCAGACCACAGACCCATGTCGACCAAGTCCTTCAGTAGCCAAGGATTGACAACTTGGAATTCACCTGCCAAGACACGGCGAGAGTAGATGTTTGATGTATAGGGCTCGAAGCATTCGTTGTTGCCCAAAATCTGGGAGGTACTAGCAGTCGGCATGGGAGCCATGAGGAGACTGTTGCGTACACCGTGTTGCTTGATCTGCTCCTTGAGCGTAGCCCAGTCCCAAAGGTCAGAGGGAGTGACATTCCACATGTCGTACTGGAGAATACCCTGAGAAACAGGGGAGCCTTTGTAAGTGGAGTAGGTGCCTTCCTGTTGGGCAATCTCCATTGATGCAGTCAAAGCGGCGTGGTACATGGTCTCAAAGATCTGCTTGTTCAACTGTCGAGCCTCGGGAGATTCAAAAGGCATGCGGAGGGCAAGGAAGGTATCAGCAAGACCTTGAACACCAAGGCCAATGGGCCTGTGGCGCATGTTGCTGTTGCGTGCTTCTGGGACAGGGTAGTGGTTCGCATCAATGACTCTGTTCAGATTGCGAACAACCACTCTAGTGACATCGTGCAACTTTTGAAAGTCGTAAGTCTCCGTGTTGTAATCCACAAAAGAGGGCAAAGCCATTGAGGCAAGGTTGCAAACGGCCACTTCATCTGGAGCAGAGTACTCAATAATCTCAGTACAGAGATTCGAACTTCGGATTGTGCCCAGATTCTTCTGGTTGCTCTTACGATTGGCATGGTCTTTGTAGAGCATGAAGGGGTTGCCGGTCTCCGTTTGAGCCTCAAGAATAGCATACCAAAGTTTCTGGGCTTTCAATGTCTGACGGCCACGACCTTCGGCTTCATACTTCTCGTAGAGCGCCTCAAACTCGTCACCATAGACGTCAGCAAGTCCGGGACACTCGTTCGGGCACATCAGCGTCCAATCGCCGTTCTTTTCGACGCGCTTCATAAAGAGATCAGGGATCCAGAGTGCTAGGAAAAGGTCACGAGCACGGACTTCCTCCTTTCCGTGGTTCTTTCGCAGATCTAGGAATTCAAACACGTCCGAGTGCCACGGCTCAAGGTAGATAGCAAAAGCGCCGGGACGCTTATTGCCGCCTTGATCAACATATCGGGCAGTGTTGTTGAAGACACGAAGCATGGGGACAATGCCATTAGATGTGCCATTGGTACCGGCAATATAGGAGCCCGTGGCACGAATACGATGGACATTCAGGCCAATTCCGCCAGCCATCTTAGAAATCATAGCACATGTCTTCAGGGTGTCGTAGATACCCTCAATACTATCATCCTTCATATCGACAAGGAAGCACGACGACATCTGTGGCTGCGGAGTTCCGGCGTTGAACAATGTAGGAGAAGCATGTGTGAAGTATTTGAGCGACATGAGGTTGTAGGTTTCGAGAACCTTCTCAACGTCGTCTCCCCAAATACCCACAGCCACACGCATGATCATGTGTTGAGGTCTCTCAACAATCTTTCCATTGATCTTCAGGAGGTAGGAACGCTCCAGAGTCTTGAAGCCAAAGTATTGGTAGTTGAAATCGCGGTCATAGACGATGGCAGAGTCGAACTCTTCTTTGTGTCTCATGACACAGTCGTACGTCTCATCTGAAATCATGGGCGACGGTGTGTTGTTCTTTGGGTTGACGTAATGGTACAGGTCGCTGACAACCGAAGACCACTGCTTCTTTGTCTGCTTGTGTAGGTTTGACACGGCGATACGGGCGGCTAGGATAGCATAGTCTGGGTGGGTGACGGTCATGTAGGCGGCGGTCTCGGCTGCCTGTTTTTGAGGCCGTGTCAGAGACCTGGCTTGTTGGAGGGGGGTTGCGTAGAAATACTCACCAAGTCGTCCAGCTGAACTGTGGTCACACCCCCGTAGACACCAGAGATAACCTTCTGGGTGATAGCAACGGGGTCGACATGGTCGGTGTCGAGTCCGTAACACAAGCGTGATACACGAGCAGTAATCTTGTCGAATTGGACACGCTCCTGGCGGCCATCTGGTCCTTGTTCAGCGGCAAGGCCAGGAATCAAGGGCCTGGACTAGAAACATACCTCGCTTCTTGACATACATCGTGATGCTTGGGTTCGAACACAGCCCAGATGCAAGGGGGCTAGTGGGGGGAGAGTTGGGACGAGGCCGACGACGGATCCGACGCAGGGCAATGTCGCCGCTGTAGACGTGTAGACGCGTAATTCAGGGGATTCGCAGCCTCCGTATCGTCGAGAATCTATGGGTATCAGGTATCAGGGGGAGAGGCGGTGCGGTGCTGTGTTGGACCTGTTGTTGAGTAGTTTGTGATGTTGAGTAAAAAGCCGGGTGAAAAGCAGGCACCCAGACCTTAAATAGAGACGCGCTGTTCACTAGGAGACCGCGTCTTAGCACTCTTTAGCGCGTCGCACTGAAAAGGGACAACATTGGAAGCTCGGGGCAATGCACCAGCCGATGGCCGCCCTACTCGCCAGCTGCAACCACTATACAGAGGCACTGTGGGGGCAGGTACGAGGGACAGTGTCTGGATCAATACCCCTCACAGTGGCTTCCGTGTACTCAACCAACTCCCCTTACAGGCACCAGCCACTTAACGCGCAGCGACGCGAAATTCGTGTGAATGGGCGGGGCTTTTGTCAAATGTGGGTCCGCCTACGGAGTCCCAGAGGAACAACTGTTCAAACCCAGTATCCGTAGGTACGTACTGCAAGGGGATGGGAGATGATGAGTATACGGAAGCCACTGTGAGGGGTATTGATCCAGACACTGTCCCTCGTACCTGCCCCCACAGGTACATGAAGCAAGCCCTTCGGCATGTTGCATCACTAGCCGCATTCTTCTTTAGTCTCCTGGAGAGTCGCTAGTGCTTTCACAGGTATTTTCAGCATATGCCTTTCAGAATTGCCACGACCTGTACGGAATACCCGAGTTCGACACCCCGCATCAGGGCTTAATTAAGTACCTACCCACTTGACACCCAAGCCAAGCCAAGCACCTCTAACAACGCTTCTACCGCACATACTGATAGGCATTAAACAAATGACTCTAATTCACATAGTACAGTGAAATATATTGACTTGGAGTAGTGAGACAGAGCGCAAGGCTGCTCCAGGAAACTAAGCCGCCGTCGGCTCCGGGTGTCCTGAAGGCAGGTTTGCCCCTCACACGGCCAGTTGCTCGAACCCGGGAACGGAGCCGTGATCGGAACCGACACGTTCATCAACGGCTACTGCCTAACATATCATTTCATTAAGCCGATTTCTTTACTAATCGATCAAAGGGAGTGAGCACCGTGACATATGAAAGAATCAGAGACGGTTCTAGAGCCAAGCAGTATGACATTATCGTCGGAGACCCAAGATAATCTCATAATCCAGTGGCCATTGAGCAACAATACTCGGTAGATGTAGAGAAAAGAGGATAGAATTCTCTTAATAAGCTAAT